TTGAAAAGCTTTTGGATGTAGGGTAGCAAATGTCCTTCACGAGACTCAGTGATGGGGCTTTAGGAGAGTCCTGCAGGCTCCTTCCATTCTTGATGCTGTTATCTGTCCTGCACGAAACCGAAACCATGGTTTGTTGTTTGTCTTTGACCTTTTGTCCATCTCACAATTTTATGCTTCTTGCTATGTAACTGTCAAATAATTAAAACACTTTTTCACATTTTATCATCAAAGTTTCTCAATCAATGGTTGCATATGAGTCGTCGTAGACCTCCGATAACACTTTTGGGTACCTTCTCACCCGGGTGAGAAATCGTGCAGAGGTGAGAAATCGTGTTGCGAACTCAGCATGTGAGAAATCGTGTCGGGGTGAGAAATCGTGCCGTAACACATGTAAGTTTGGGGAACATGTTAGTTGATGTAAAATGAAATGCATCCAATCAAAACTGCATTTAAAATTACCTAGCTGGCACGTCCAGGTGATTTGGGGTCAACAATTTTTCGAGAATGCAGTTTTTATAGTTACTGTATTTATGGCAGCTATTATATAGTGACATATAGTGACAGATATTACAAATATACAAACTATCACAGACAGATATTACACATGTACACACTCTCACAGACAGATATTACACATGTACACACTTTCACAGACAGATATTACACATGTACATACTCTCACAAACAGATATTACAAATATACAAACTATCACAGACAGATATTACACGTGTACGAACTCTCACAGACATATATTACACATGTACAAACTATCACAGACAGATATTACACATGTACACATCTCACAGACAGATATTACACATGTACACACTCTCACAAACAGATATTACACATGTACACACTATCACAGACAGGTATTACATATGTACACACTAACAAATACAGGTATTACACATGTACACTCTCACAGAAAGATATTACACATGTACACACTCTCACAGACAAGTGTAATACTTATTTTTGATAATAAACAGTGTTCTACTTTCGTTTTCAAAGAGATACAACAAAACTAGAGAATAATTTCCATTACAAAATGATTTCACTTCAATATATATAATTATAAACACTTTTACCTGTTTGTGTCCGCATTTTCTTCATTGAAAGCGTAATACATGAACTGCAGCCGGTAATTTTAATTAGGAACAAAAATACGAAACTAAAACAAAATTTGTGTATAAAGGGAAATAGCTCGAGAGAACACATTTGACTGATACTCGTTACACTGTTGGTCGAACCGACTGTTTTCTGCACCAAATCACATATTTCCCGATAAGAAATGAAAGACTACCCCATACGACCCAGTTATGAACCAAATACTTCTTTATTACAGTGAAATATCACCTTTGTAGACGTATTTACTTCTATCTGCCATATTTTTTCGGGAAATATGCGATTTGGTGCCGAAAACATCACCGAATTGCCGTGACTATGACCCAATACTATATTACTTCTTTGACCCTTACATATTACGTAATATATACGTCTTTGATCATCCGAAAGCAAAATACTAAAAAACATGAAAACTTGATCCATATATACTTTTAATAACCCTGAGTTTGTGACACTAATTAGGAAATAACAGAAATCTGTTATCTGGAGTACGACTCCATTCTGGATTCGGGCAAATATCCCGGCTCTGTGCCCCCGGGCACTTAACAATCCAAGTTCCTGATGTCTTCCGAAGAATTACAAATTCCACTTGCAAACCACTTATATAATATGAACAGAAGACGTAGCAGTCTATGTGATTAGTTATAATTTTGAACAGTGTCATGTAAGCCATTTTAGGCTGAATATCATATACAATTACATTTTCTATGTTATGCATTTGTTAAATATGATACCAGGTGTCAATCAGAAACATTTTTTATGAAAATAATCTTCCGTTTAAATTATAATTAGCTACTAGTTAGTGTGAAGTTAGCAGACCTCGCTGGTAGGGGGCTCCCCAATCCTTGGAAACCTAAATTTCACTACAATGTAGAACGAGGAAATTATTCATTTCATTTATCACCATTGTTATTGGGTTTTTTAAAGGCATCATGTTTTAAGGCAGGAAATGTAAAAGAAACCTTTTAACTATTATAGTATTTAATATGTAAGGACAAAATCCAGGATTTTGTTAGATAGGGGCTGTCCCAATCACCTGCTCTCTGGATTTTTTTTAAGTTATAACAACTATCGATATAATATGTATAAATATAGATTTGTTCCAATATATACTAAAGATACATGGTTGTGAAAAGTAAATCTACTCTTACTAAATACTCGTCAAATTTATTTAAACAAATTTAAGTCTTTAAAAACATCAAGTTATATGAATGCATAACCACGGACTTTATCCAATTCCGTGTACAATATCTAATTTGAACATAAACTTAGTCCCGTGCAATTGAATAGATTCTTGATATATGAAATCCATTTAAAATCAGCGAAATCATTTTCATGTAATGCATAAGCTTGTACATTATACTAGACAATTTATTTTCACCTGTAATTAGTTTATACCAAAACATTATCATTCTAGATTTAATTTCATTATTCAGAGGGTACTTAACCGTTTCACCATATACCATTATATTATATTTGCTGTGGAGCTTCGTATGTTTAAAATTCTTTTACAAAACTGTACATGTAATTTCTCAATCATATTGGTATTTTTAAACACCAAAATTACAAATGGATTGGGGATAATAAAATATCAAACAATTTTAATTGTAGGTCAATTGGTAAAATAATATTTCTATTTTTTTTATATAATGCATACATTGCTTTTTGAGCCTGTTCAACAAGTTTTTTTCTTGCTTTACAGAAACTGCCATTAAAATGAAACAGCAGTCCTAGAAACGAGTAGCTTTCATGTGTTTGCAACTCTTCACCAAAAAGAGTAAAACGAAAATTGTGTGCAATTACATTTCCTTTTTTCAAAGATAACAACTTTACTTTTATTGAGATTAACTTTAAGTTTCCAAATAATACAGTAAGTTTCAAATTCACGGAAAGCATTCTGTAGACCTTTAGCTGTTTCTGACATAACAACTGTGTCATCTGCATATGTAGCAGAATAAATAATTTAACAAATATACCCATGCGTTCTTGAAATAAATTGTCAATATACTGGAGTTGGTCAACTTTACTTTGCATGAAAAAATCTTCTAAATCATTTAAATATATTGAGAACAAAAATGGGGAGAGATTTTCACCTTGTTTTACCCCGACGTGACAAGTGAAAAAATCAGTCATACCATTGCTAGATTTTACGCAAGTATTAGTGTTTGCATACAGATTAATTATAGCATTAAATATATTTCCTGTGATATAATTCTTTGATAATTTCTTCCATAAACCTACCCTCCAAACAGTGTCAAACGTTTTTCTGAAATCAATGAATGAACAGAATAGCTTTTTATTTTTTGAAAAGTATATAGATATTAAAGCATGAAGGATAAATATATTTTTAGTTGTAGAGTAGCCTTTCCTAAAACCAGCTAGAACATTGGAACAAGAAGTCTATTGTCTACTATTACGGAAATAGATAATCAGTTTTGACCACATCGGCCTTTGAAAAAAATTGAAACATAAAGCGTTTCGCCGTGTTTCTTTCTTCTTTACATATACAATTAATATACAGTATTGTTTTTTTCTAAAACAGATAAGGCCTAACAATCCAACATATGGACTTCAATATTTATTTACGTACAACACGTATTTCAATTAAATTATATTTACATATAGAATTATATTTAATTTTCAGATTGATGTCGCTTTTTTGTGTTGGAAAATTTCATATTTTATTTTATTTTAAGATCGTAGACGTGATGGGATTATAATCTACACATTAACACCAATTAATTCACTCAAAATATATTCATGCTATTTATTAAAAGTTGAGTATAAGTTATGAAGTTATTAAAATTTAGTTATCATAATGTCATTTCCGATGTTTCAGGTGTTATGGCATCGCAATAACAATGTCATATATATAAATGAGAAAATAACCCAGATACATATTTATTATATATGTAATATATAATTCTCAGAACAACCCTTTTTATAGAATAAAACAGAGACAAATATATGTATATGCGAACCTCGGCCTGGCAATTTATATATATATATATAGAATAAAAATAAATTTTTCAGATCGTCCGCTAGGCCTTTCTGCCTTCTAGGGCTTCTTCAGGCGGATAAATATATATATTTAGTCCTATCCTGCCCCGTTCCTGTAATTGCAATTCTTTTATCAAATATACCTTATACCCGATAAGGATAATTAGATATCTACAATAAATATATATAAATAAGTCCGATCCTGCCCCGTTTCTGTCCATTCCTGTAAATCGTCGCCCGTTCTTGCCCGATCCATATCAATACAATACTTTTAATTCGTTGCAATCGTTTTATCAAATGACGTATCTTGTACCCGATAAAAAAGATATAATAATATAAATATATATAATTTAGTCCGATTCTGCCCCGATCATGTCATTGCAATCCTTTTATCAAATATATCTTATACCCGATAATGATACTTAAATGTATCTAATATATAAATTCATTAATGTATATATAATAATTAATAGATTTCTGCCCGTTCCTGCCCGTTCCTGTAAATCGTCGAACCCCTATAGTCACGGCATTTCGGTGTTGTTTTCTGCACCAAATCGCATATTTCCAGATAGGATGTGACATATAGAAGTAAATAACTTCAAGAAATGTAATATTTCACAGTAATAAAGAAGTATTTGGTTCATAACTGGGTCGTATGGTGTAGTATTGGGTCATAATCACGGCAATTCGGTGATGTTTTCGGCACCAAATCGCATATTTCCCGATAAAATATGGCAGATGCAAGTAAATAACGTCTACAAAGGTGATATTTCACAGTAATAAAGAAGTATTTGGTTCATAACTATTGGGTGGTATTGGGTAGTATTGGGAAATTAGACGCTCCCTAATTTTAAATCTATGTCGCTCTCACCGTGGACATGTTCGGTCTTGCATAATCCCCTCCACGCTTACGGTGATGTGTATTGCATTATCGCCTATTTACCTCCACATATTAATCCCTCCACACATTCTTTCCTATTGTGTTGCATATTAATCCCTCCACACATTCCATTGGTTTCCGTCTCCTATTGCGTCATACATGCATATCTAGGTCAAAGGTCTGTTTTACCGGCTGGGCCTCCACACATTTCATAGGTTTTCCCTCCCCTATTGCGTCATACATGCATATCTAGGTCAAAAGGTCACCCTCCACACCCTCCACAAAATGTGTAGAGGCCTAGCCGGTAAAATACCACTACTGCTTCCACTAATTGATATTGACTGATGTCAGAGTCTGTTTCCATATGTGAGTTTTCCACGTCTGAAACTACATGAAAGTTTTCAAACACAAACATCATATATATATCTGTACTGGCGTCAATCGCCAAAATTGCATCATCGTTCGCTCTGCTGAAGTAGGGAGGATACAAACGCTCAGCATTTCTTATTTTCTGGATGCTTGTTGTGATCAAAATATCCAATTTTCACAGCTGCTGTATTTATTACATACATCGAGCAGTCGAGAAAAAATACAAAGGCTTTTCATTAAAATACAATTTGTACACAGTAATCTAAATACGACTTGCAAAAACAAGCACATCATGATAACAGCAAAATGTTACGAGGAAAATATTGGTGAAATTATTTTCATATTACGTTTATGAAAAAACAGCATGTATTATTTTCCGAGTTTAAGTATACATTAACTCTAAATATCTATTGGATACTTTGTTCACAACTCACTGATTGAAATAGCAAACTAAGTGGGACACACTGTAGACATAGAGTAACAAATGAGATTGCATAAGTAAAATGGATACGGGAAGTTTGAGAGTGCGGTTGTGAATCCGCTGTTAAATCATTTAATATAGCTTTCTTTGGCATTTACAGGTCAGATTCCACATGGCTAATGACGTATCGAGTCCATTAAACAATGAGAATATGCATGTATGCATTTTCCATCATTGTAATCGTGATACAGTGTATTTCATTTAGTCTACTATGGTACTTTAATACTGGTCTATAAAGGATCCATGCCATGCAGGCAACTTTTCTTCTATCACCACCTTGCTCTTCCTTTTTGGTGTTACCCCCCACCCCCACACCACACCACCCCCACTCCCACCCAAAAAAAAGTATCTGAGGCTACGTCACACTCCTATCATCAAGCCTATTTATTATGCTGGATAGTACGTTTTGCGTAAGTCTACATTTTCCTACTTTGAATGTACAGTTGGGAGCAAACTTAACTTGATATATAGTGCACTTTGTAGTGCAAACGTAGTGAACAAGGAACTGCACTTGACAAAAACATTGAAGTGCACTCCAGTTTACTTAAGTGTTAACTCCAGTTCACTTAAATGTTACTCCAGTTCACTTCAGTGTTAGCTCCAGTGCACTACAGTGTTTACCAAAGTTTAAAAGACTGAAGTACATATTTCAATAATTGTTTATAATGAAAAGGGTTTCTTTGTGATATGAAAATTGAAAGAGAAAAGAAAGAATCATTCAACTGAATATTTCATAATATCGAATCAACGATACACATGTATTTTTTCTATTGCTTAAAATTTCAACTGAACATGTACATGTACAAAAAAGGAATGTGTACACTATCTCTGGTGATTATAGAAAATTTATAGATAGCTGTACTATTTCAAATGAAAAAGTTTAAAAGTATCATAGTAAGTTAAATCACATTTCATATCAATGTTGTAGTGTCAGGATAGGGGATCAGTATCTGTTATGTGATATGGGTAAATGTGGTCAGTTTTCCTATAATTTTATACTTTTTATGAAAGGTTTTTCTATAACACAACATCAATAGAGTAATTCGCTTATTTATTTTATATAAACAAGTCAAGAAAATATAAAATGTAAAACAAAAGCTTATATCATGGCATGGACTATATAGATAAAAGGTAAATATCAAGCTAAAGATGTGTAATTAATCTAAGTTTGTTAATCCAAAGTTGCCTGAAGAAAAAATCTTTGAGTTAGTCTGATTTTGATATATTCTTTGTTATATATATATACACATCAGGTACATGTACATGCTGATGGTTGACTAAGAAAATACATCCCAAACCACCACCCCCTCCCCTGGTCTACTGTGTTCCCCTCACCAGTGTAGCAGGTATACAGCTGGCCTGGTGGTATTGTAATGCATTGCCACTTGTTAAAGTGATGATAAAAGTCATGGTTGCAGGGTGCAAGCACCTGTAGGTAAAGTTATATATATATGTACAAAAATGAAATAAGTTGATTGATTTACTAATAAAAAAAAACCAAATCAATTAAGTTTCACAGGGAACTTCAAGTTTTAATCATACAGTTACAACTTTACTTCAGTGGCAGATTTAAAGATTGTTACCAGGGCAATGTAACCACCCCCTGACACATATTGTTTTTTTTTTTTTTTTTTTTTTTTTTTTACATCACTGTTCTGTTCTTTATTTGCCAAAAGCCCTTATGCTTATAGGTACATACAAATAAACATATAACATTCTCTAAACATAATTAGAATAGGCAGGAGAGTGACATCAAAGTATACATAAAACACCGTTCAATAATGTGCATATAACAATACTTAATTTAACGAATTACAATAATGGAACACCACAATACATAAACATTAAATTAACACCTCTTAAAAGCTAAATATAAATATTTTCCTAAATTGGATAGCTCTCTAACATTATTATCTATATGGTATCTACCTGAGAATATATTGGCAATGATCACCCACTGACCATTCACCTGCGGTCACATGGGATTCTGATGGGCTGAACACCTTGTGTTAAGGCAATTAATTTTGTCAATTTATCCAGCCCATTGTTTGTCCAGTAGATACATAGGTAAATCAGTACACGATTACAGGTAAGATACTGTGGCTACCCCTTTGTCCAGAAATGACAGCCTCGGGCACAATTCTATTTCAATACAGTGCCTTTGAAGTGTTTCACGCTACCTTATCCCTCAAATGGTTTACAAACTGGGTGTTACATAAATAGTCAACACTAGTTGAAAACACACCCCAGCATCAATTAATTGGTCACTGAAACATGATAGAGCCTTTTTGTACATGTACGTTCAGGTTCCATAGTAGCCACAGGGCACACTGATGTTACAATAAAAGAACCAAAAGGTCACTTAGGAAATTAAAATTTTGAAAAAATCAAGATAAATCGGTAAGGATTATGAGAAGGTTCGATCTTACCTTTTTAAAACACACTCAAATCTGTTCTTTAAAAAAATATCCAAGGTCTTGGAGTTGTTAACATTATAGTTCATTTATCTTTTTTTTTAAAACAGAATTACATACACACACATATATACATCACTATGGTATTTTTTATGCATAAATCATCTATTCTTTGGATAGGTGATCTGACAAAACCATTAGGTGTTTATTTTGATTGGATTATACACGTTTTTAATTTTTAGACATATTCAAAGTTAATTCTTATAATTTATTTTCATTGTTGACATGTAGTTAAATGTATTTTCTTACTAGAAACACAGACTTATAGAGAATCTAGTTTCGTACTAGAAAACTACACACTTCCTAGAATCAATATTATTTGTTTTTTAGTGGGGTTTTTTAAGAAAGTCTAAGTTTACTTGATAACTTGATTTACAAAGAGAGAAATGAAAAAAATAAGACAATTTTCTCCTGTGCTAGCTTCACGGTTCAGCGGGTGAAATTTACCTGTGGAAAAGTCAATTTGGATACCTACATATTTAATTCTTAACAAATAAATGTTGTGTTGTAATTCAGATCTTCATTCCTGTAACTACAGTACATCATGAATGAGACAATACATATATTCATAGTATTTGTTCTTATTCACCTACATGAGCTCTCCATTTTTCTTCTTCAAAAAGAATATGCAGAAAAAGACTCACTATCATATACTGATAATATAATGCTATATTTGTATACTTAATGTAGACGTAATACTAGCACTGTGCTACTTATAAAGGAACTTCAACGGTGATTATGTCTTTTATGTCTATTAACTTTAAACCACCAATACATGTATATATATGTACCATGGGTCCAAGTCGGTGCATGTACTAATAATCATATAGGTCATCACGCTCTATAGTTATTATGCTATTTTCCTAAAAGGATACTAAGAAAATTACCTTGTGAACGGTAGTTAACTCCAGTGGACATTGATGTGAACTCCAGTTAATTATTTCAGTGTTAACTCCAGTTCACAAGCTAGTGAGTTGGAGTTCACTTTTCTTGTTAACTCCAGTGCACTAGGCAATCAAGTTAAGTTTGCTGCCAGCTGTACAGCCACTGCATTGCTTTATAAATACTATAATCCTCGTCGAGACGTTCCCCAATACAGAAACACATCACCGGACATTTCATTGGCATTACATAACGATATTCTGATTACCGCTTTATTAAGCACCCTTTGTAAACAGTATACATCCCCTAACTCGACATGTGAATTAAACACTCACTAAACAAGAAGTATATAAAATATTTATCCCGTTCCATGACGTTATAATACAAAATGTTCAACACGCAGATGTGAACAATGCTTTATTCGTATTCATTGATCCCTGCCGGCTATCAAAACGTCTGCCATGAACACCCTATTCTCACATATTATGGTTAACCATGTACTGTCTGAAATTAATCTGACAGCAAGTTTATATTATATGTGAAATAGCCGAACTAACAAGTCAATACGGAATGAGGTTTACAATGTCCACCTCATTATGTGTCATCTGATTCCACCATTTTAAAAATCATGATTCGTCAGCAGCCTCCTCGTAAATGTTGGCAAGATTATGGTACGTCATCATACCGCAAAACAGTACACACTCAGACAAATTACATATGGGTGTTTCTGTTACAAAGCGGCTAGCACATATGTGGTTCGTATATTAGTGAGTTCATTTCATATGATATTTTATGAAACGAGTCTTAGGAGTTTTTATTTTTGCGAGCCTTTGGGAGCAAACATTAAATCTTCTAGACGAGTTTCATAAAATCTCATATGGAATGTAAACAAATCTAAGATACTTTTTATCACATAACTCAGAAAACTTACATTTTGACGGGTTTTAAAGCCAAATTGTAGAGGGCTTAATCAAACGGAGACAGCCATTTTGTTGCGCCATTCACAATTTATGAGGTCACGTCATTGTCCATATTATGACGTCACAATCGATTTCTGACTGGCACAGCCAATGAAAAACGCTCCAGGGTATATTACACTAGTGACATATGTAAAAATATTACACGGGCTAATTCACTGGATAACAGGCCGATTATATGATAAACATATATATCTATATTGTTAAAGCGTCCTACCCACAACCGCCCACCACTCACGTTTCTCTTTCAACAGTAGTGTAAAGCAATTTGAACGTTGATCTTTTCTGTCTCTGGCACCACCAAG